ATTTAAGAGACTGAGCTGAATACAGCACCTCAGACTGAGGAAGTCCTCAGGATGGAGACGAAACGTTTCTACATTTTTTTTTACCATGTCCAGAGGACCAGACTTAACTTCTTCGAATAATAATAATAAGTGTGTGTGTAGCAGGTGTGTGTGTGTCAGGTGTGTTTTCATACGTACCGCTTCTCCAGGTATGGACATCCCACTGGGTCCCTGAGGTCCAGGAAGACCCATGGGCCCAGGTGGTCCGTTGTCTCCACGTGGTCCATCAGGTCCCTGTAAAAGAGAAAGGGAGGAGCTTAACACTGCAGGCTGACAAAGGCGAAGTCAGATGTTCTCCAAACGTTTGGATGTTAGAGCAGAACCATGAAGATGCTTCTGAAGTTGTCAGTAAAATACTTACAGCAGAACCGGGCTCTCCTCTTTCTCCTCTGGGACCTTTGCTGCCAGGAGCTCCCTATGTAGGAAACATGAAGACCAGGACTGAGACGCAGAACCAGAACTGAGACTCAGAACCAGAATTGAGACCAAGAACCAGAAATAAGGCCCAGAACCAGAACTGAGACCAAGAACCAAAACTTAGAACCAGAATCAGCTGAGAAAACCTGTCACCAGATTTCTGGGTCCAAGTAAAACCTGCTGAGGTCCATGCCTCCATCATCCAGCCTCTCCTTCGTGGGTCTCGTGGCGTCAATCTGTTTCCAGGGACAAGTCTGTGCCCAGGGACAGGTCAGTCTCCAGTGAACCTATCATGGAGGTTCTGCACTGTGGGAGCAGCAGGTCTGGACATGTTCCACATCAGAACCTTTGATCTGGATCACATTTCTTCTGCTGCCCTGGGGTCAAAGTGACCCCTGAGGAGTTTTATCTTGCATCCTTTCACCCCTGTCTCATGTTTGAGCTGAAACATGTTTGATTTCTGGTTCTGTCTAATCTGAAGGGGGGGGGGGGGGGGTTTCTGTCCTCTGGAGCACATTAAGCTGAAAGAACTGATCTGTAGTGTAGACACGGTTCTTAATATTAAGAACCAATACCTAAATAATAATTCAACCTCAATGTCACTACCTGTGCAATAACCTGTCACACAAGTAAGTGTTGATGATTCCTTCTTCCTCCCAGGCTCTCATCGAGGTGGCAGCTTCTGTTTCTCCTCCCCCGTTTTCCTTCTTCCTGCTCTGCTCTCTGTGTGTCTGAAGCGCCTGGGTCTCATCTCCCGAACATAAATTAAGAAGATTATGGATTTGGTATTGTGGGCGTTCAACTCTATTGATAAGATTTTTTCATCAAAGCAACAAGGTCCTGGAGAACCGGCGTGTCCAGCTGAGACTCACGCTGTGGGGTACGTCATGGATTCGTGGGGAGTGTGGCAGATGATGTGCCTCTCAGTTCTGTCTCAAGAAGATGTTGAAGACGTTTACATATTTGGACTTATGATAGCAGGGACTCTGCTTTTTGGAATCGGCAGCGCTCTGTTTTATCGACTTTTGAAAAAGACAGCGGGAGCAGTTTCGGCCATGGAAAAGCTTCCGAGTCAGTGTGAAGGTCTGGTCCTCGCTGTGGGAACTGTAAATCGTCTGGTCTACGAGCTTAACCGTAAGGTGGAGGTGATTGAGAATCGGAAACCACCTGCGGCTTCTGGGACTCGTCAGCGTGGTGGGTTCGACCTTGAAGGAGACTCATAGCATGGATCAGTGAAATGAAATTCCACAATTAGGCTTTTTTCAGAACCAGAACGCCCAGATGGACTCAAGGCTGAAGAAAAAATCTGTCTGCCTGAAGAAAAACAAATATTAAGCTTATCTAATCTGACTCCCAATGGCCTCGGAGACGGGCTGACTATCAAATTTCTCCTGGGACATGAGTACCCAAGGACAAAAGCTTCATCTATCGCAACGCCCCGCCCCGAGAACTCTCTGTGCAGGCTTATCAGAACTGCTGGCTGGATTAACATCCTCAGAAGCTGTGGCTGATCTGAAAAACTCTCATAGACAAATCTCAACACCTCGATGTCAAATGCAAATGTAATCTTGTTTTAATTGTGCTGCTGGTAGAGTTTTTTGATGTCTCAAATCGTGTCCTGATGGACAAGATGTGAAAGATCTTTTTTTGTAATACCACCATCTACCCTCATGTTTCTCCCCCTTTTCATATCTAAGATTATTATCTGATAAGGATAAAATGGCCGCACTCTCCTGTAGTTGCAGCTTCGTGTACTCCGCCCATCTTTCGGACGACTGTACGTACATGTTCGCGTTGTACCTCGGTGCAATTCCAATAAAGTTTATTCTGATTCTGATGATGTGCAATATACACTGTATATATATACAGTGATGTGTGTGTACACACACACACACACACACACATATCACACACACACATATATATCTTCTTCTTCTTCTTTCAGATTTTCCCTCTTCAGGGGTCGCCACAGCGAGTCCTCCTCCATCTCACTCTGTCCTCTGTGTCCTCTGTCCTCACTCCAACTACCTTCATGTCCTCTCTAACTGCATACATATGTCTCCTCTTTGTCTTTTTCCTGGCAGCTGCATTTCTAACATTCTTCTACCAATATACCCACAGTCCCTCCTCTTGACATGTCCAAACCATCTCAGTCTGGCCTCCCTAACTTTATCTCCCAGTTGTTCAACCTGTGCTGTACCTCTGATTATCTCATTCCTAATCTTATCCAGCCTTGTCAGAGTCAGAGTTTCTTTATTGTCATTTGCACCTCATGTGGTACATGTGGTGGAGCGAAATTATATACACAGGGTCCCAGTTACATCCAACAATAAAATGTATAAGAAAAACAGTAATAACATCTAAGATATGAACTAAGAAAAACATCAACTAAATATACACTAAGCACTCATAACATAAAACATTGAACATCAGCACAAACATGAACATGAGTCTGTGAGCAGATGTGCACGCATGAACACATCAACACTGAAACAGATCAGCAGCAACATGAAACAGATCAGCAGCAACATG